GAGCAGTTACTGCCCAGGCACCTGCGTGTCCTCCCCTTGCAATTGGAGGCGAGGGAGGGGATAGGAGGGGAGACAAGCGCAGTTCTCCGGTTTTAATCCAACACTGAAGGTTCACCGACATCCACAGGAACCTGAGCAGCAACAGCATGGAAATCAGGGTGTGCAGAGCAGGGAACAGGGATAAAACAAGAGGGAAATTAAAATTAAAGTAGAAAACTGGTAGCTTTTTCCAAAAAGATCAATGCACCTGTAATCAAAAGCCCTGTAAGGTGTCTCTGCATCTCACTAAGCTGAGTTCTCTGTGCAAATCAGTACTGAAGTGAAAATTTGCAAGCAACATCAACACTTAGAGGAAAAACAGTCAACAAGTCACTCCCTCTATTAAGATCTGGACTGTATCATGAACAGAGTTTGAAAGCAGTTCCCCGGTGATTATTCTCCACTGAATGTGGCCATTTCTGTCCAAACAACGACAGGAAATTTGAAATAGTTCTGCTAAAAATTGAAATGAGTAATAGCAATACAAATATTACATAATCACATATATGAAGTGCTGCATGAACATTAAGTTATCCTAATTGTTTCCATGAATCAGGTATGTATTATTAATATCACCATTACACAACTGCTGCAGATTCCCGTTATTTCCTTTGCTCACTTCTCTCACTCCTTTTTTCTCTTTCCCATGCAGAACACAGCCCTCTCTAATTTGTTTGCTCTCCTCCTTTCCACCTTCCAAGTTTCTCACCCACCTGCTCTGGCGCCCCTACCCTCTCGGTTCCCACTGCTAAACACTTTAAGACGCACAGGGATGTTTCATGGCCTCAGCTCACCTCAACACCTCGAGCAGGTTCATCTCACCTACCTGCATCACTTACATCTGATACTCTAAGCCGAAAATTTTTTACTGGATAGACTGATAGCCTGCATAGCAACGCTCACCAGAAACACGCAGTCACCTGACAACCATTAAAACCGCAGCTAACGATATCTGCACCAGCACAGGCACCTGCCTCACCCCCTGCCACTTCTTTTGGAAAAGGACAAATGTTCCATTTTTGAGCACTGGAGCTGAGTAGTAAAACAACAGCGATACAGTGGCCCTACAATGACAGAACAAACCTACTACAGCAAATGCTGGTGACCGCTAAGTGGTCTAGTTTTCATCTAGTTTTAGAGGGAATTCTCCATAGGTAGTAAAATCTGTAATTTCTATCTAAACCTTGGAAGCCTTCATCAACTTTTACACAAACTCATCAGTATCACCTGATGTATCATCCACATACAATGCAAGTACTAAACACAAGGGAAATTTTCACTCCCATGCACAGGCAATACTGAAAATTTAGCCCCACGCATCAGTCCCTTCTTTGCTGACTTAGACTATAACTCATCAATAACTGCAGAGTTTCTCAGGGCAAACGCTCAGTTGACAGGACTCTTCCTCTGAGGCAGCACTTTTCAGAGCAGTTCTTAAAATGCTAATCTACTTCTATTCATCATAACTGCTTCCTTTAGATGGAAAACAGTATTACAATAAAAAAGATGACGTGTTTACCTCCCTGGCCAAAAGCATACCAACAGAAAAGATGAGACAAACACCTTTACTGAATGGCACAGACCCAAGAAAACAAGCATTTAAAACTCAACTGCAAACATAACCGCACTAGGTTTGGTATTTCTTTAAGCTTCTGACAGGTCAAAAGATCTAAGCTATTAGGTAAAAATATTAAAAATATTTGACAAGACCTGTCTTCTAGCCTCATTTTATTGAACAGGCGTTAAAATTTTTATTTAAAAAAATTAGGCATTATTGGTTTTCTCTCCAGAGGTAGCTAAAACTATCCTTAAATTGCCTCCCACCTACAGTCAACAAAATTTCTTGACAAACCTCCTCGCTCAATAAAACCCAAAATCACCTGATTTATAAAATGAACTGAACTGGCAGCAAAGCTTTCAGTTGAAGAGAGAAGAACACGATACGCTTCCTCTAACCCTCCCAGAAGTGGGGTGCGGCAGACCCCTGCACGCCCCCAGCCCCAGGGCTGCCCCGGCAGCACCACGATCCTAACGGGAAGGTGCGCAGCACCCTTGTGCCAGCAGCCCTGACACAGCAGCCAGCCCCACCCAGGGAAAGGGAATCCAAATGGATGCAGGATCCTCACGGCTTAATGGAGCGCAGTTTTACGGAACGCAGGCACAGCAAGGGTTTGCACAGAGCTTCAGCCGCTGTAATTCCCTTGGTGCTTGATATATGTTGGGTCCTTTTATTCATCAAAACTTTGTATCCTCAGAGATTTCCCCTCCTTTTTTATGATTACCTACACATGCAAAATTAAGACAGATTTTCCTTCATTCTTATTCCTTCCAGAAGGGAGGACGTTCAAAACGTGACAGAAAAACAAAAAGGCAGATTTAGGCAAAAGCAGAGGTCCAGCTCCTCTCCAAAGTCCCAAAGAGCTTTCTGGCTCTCCTCCTCTGACTCCCAAGTGAGGTACCACCACAAACAATACCGCCTAGGACTGCCAGGAGGCTTTTTAAAGAGCATTCACGGAAAACATTGCCAAGAGTAAACTCAGGTTTCCGCTTACTCTGTCTCACATGGTAGTGCATAAAGAAAGAGGCCGACTGACGAGTCTGGTTCTCTGCAGTGGGGTAATGGCTCACACATTCTCCATTATCAGGTCACGGACTGAACACATAATAGGTTGAAGTACTCAATATCATAAATTAAGTAGGCTGAATGCTCCAGTATTTGATAAGAATGTATCATTCCTGTGGCATTATTTCATTGCTCTGCAGCATAGAGTACATTTGCAAAGTTTACATTCCCATCTCCGTTTTTCAAGGTCTTTTCATGTAGGGAAGTTTCACAACTTCACTAAAAATACATTTGAATTTTTACTATCGTGTCTTTCTGACAAGGTATATATATATATATATCATGTAGTTCTATCAGTTAGCCTAGCACCATGATCTACCACACTGCAAATATTCAGCATCAAGACTCACACAAAGCTCGTCAGCTTATCCTAGGAGCACGTTTGGTACAACCTGCCAGCTCCTGGCAATTTTTTGGGACCTTTTGCTAGCTTTTACAGCTTTTTGGCACTAATAGCTCATTAACTGCTTTCTCTGAAGACAAATATGTTGAAACTCTTTAATAATTTCCTCTGCCAGTATCTATTTGTGGACTTACTGATACTCGATTCAGAAGTTTTGAACACCTTGCAAGCTTTGATTTCTCGCCAAGGTTGTCTTCTGCTTCTGCACCAGATTTCTTCATACACCTCACAGTTATCTCCACCTTGCAGTAGTATTCCATAATTATTTTTGGCCCTGTTTCCTAAAAATCCCCAACTCACACTGTTTCTTGTTCTCTTTTTCTAAGTGTCATGGGTTTTTTAGGTTGTTTTTTTTTTTTAAGTCTTAACATTTGCAAATAATCACTTAGAAGACGGTTTCACTATTTCTGAAACTGCCCTATTTAATTCTGTTTTTCATGCATTTTTATCCTAAAAACATACTGGAGAGTTTAGTATGTTTAGCGAGATCAAAGTAATTGATGCCTCAGTGAATGCCAGGCTCAAATTCTAAAGATATCTGCTAGACAAAATTTACAAAGTGTTTTAAGTTTTTCTCTCTTCATTGTTTCAGACTGTTCAAAATAGCGCACTCAGAGGAACACCAGTTTCTTAGAAGTGTATTTTACAACTACAGAAATATTTTGTTTGTAGCTTGCTTTAACGAAATGCCGAATGTATAAAAGTGTTTACTACTCCTCCAATTAAAAAACAAAGCTAAACAAAAAAACCCCGAACAGAACATCTAGAAAGAAGCAGGTTTACTCAAATTAACTGACATCGATTCTTCAAAGTAACACATTCCAGGCACCATTCACCTCCAAAATATTAAGACTGTGGGTTTTTCCTTGAAACTTTGTATTTCCCGATCATACATGCTTAATAATAAATTCAACCTAATAAAAGTCATAATTCAGCTTTAAATCAATTAATTTCTAAGTTTTAAAGATATTAAAGAAAAATGAGGATAAAGTGGTGCCAAGCCACAACCAAAAAATTTGGTTTTCATTTCCTGTAAAAGCTTTTTGTGCAGTTCTAGCTAGAAGTTTAAGTCATCTTTAAGACAGCACATTTGAGAAAGCCACAGGTAATTTTTTATTTATTTATTTACTTATTCTAAATGACAGCCCGCCCTCTTGTGTAGGACTGAAGTTTAGCATGACTACAGTCAAGAACACAGGGTGAAGATCAAGTGCTACTGCCTGACTACCTAGAAAACCTGAACCTTCCAGCTCTCCTGCGGAGCGTGCTGCTTTTGCTGAATGGGGAACACACAAAGTAACTACTCCTAATGTAACGCACTCTCTACAACAAGAATAAAAAGAAAGTGCTTTCTCTTTTGCTTGCTTGTTATCTTGGCCAAAAAATATTTGCAAATTGGCTGCAGTTTAAGTGCACAGGTGATTTTGGAATTCACCTCTTCCATCACCTTCTGTACACACTCAGTAGAGACAAAAGGAAAAAAAGGTTCTTCTCTGTCTGACTCTCAACAAATACAGAAGAAGAAAGCAAAAACAGCTAAACCATTGGGACTTTCTGTTCTGTTTTTCAGTCCTTATCCCAGTTAGTACACTGTAAAGGCACCTGCTTTCTGAAGAAGAGAGGAAGCCAAGCGTGAAGCCTGAGCCACAAGTGACTTGCCAAAGCCCACTGAAGACGTCACTAAGTGCCGACAAGATCCTAAAGTCAAAAATCACTGAAAACTACCATGACTACTACCTACTACATGCTTTTCACAGACAGCATGAGCAATAAACACTTATCCAGCTGCACAAGCAGCAGCGCTGTCACAGAATAAGTAGTGCAAGACATTCATTGTGGTCAATATCCACAAAAGGACAAAGCTAACTGAGGATGTTTCATCCCCCAGAGAAGTTGAGGTACCTCCAACAGAAGTAAAAAGCAAGTAACACCTACTTTCGAAGGTGTTCGTGTTCCTTCAGGAATAGTTCTGTTCTTCTGTTATTCACTCCAGACCCACTTTTATATGATCTAAAATGTAAAAAATAACAAGAGTTTTAAAAAAAGTTTTCCAGAGGCTTTTCATTAGACACTATTAGCTGATTTGCATACCTCCCATGCTTTGTTACTCCGAAGTGACCAAACAGAACACTTCCAGACATTTTTAATGTGATGTGGCATAGCTTAATAGCTTTACTTTAAAAACACAAATTCCTTTTCAGTTAAAAAAACCCAAACCAAGACAGAATCTTATCATGACCTTAATAAAAGTAGTCAATTCAAGTAAGTTTCTCACGGTGTTCAGAGCACAGATGAATAAGCTAGGCCAAGTATTCTCCCACAGGAGGGCTGCTGCCTTCTGCCTCCAAGGACGGCCCCGTGCCATTGCTGTAACACGCAACACAACTTACTCGATATCTTTTCGTACTGATCCCAATAGATTCTCCCTTTCTCGTATGGCCAAGAAGTTTGCTTTGGTTTTGTGGAATTCATGTGTATAATCCTGTGACGAAACAATTATTCCAAAATGAGGACCATGAGATCAATTTAACAAAAACAATACACTCCCGTGAGACTCAGTCACCTTTTGAAATGTTAACTGTTCTCTAATACAAAGTGCAAGACCAACTTGCTAAAGTAACATCAAAAACGCTTGGAAGTTAACGCAAAGTATTTCTAAAACTCGCTGCTCTTGCAGTATTTGCTAACTTGACTAAGCTAAGCTAAGGTCATAGAGGGAACCCTACTGTAATTCCTTGTCCCAGCTTCATAGATCTTCACCTTTCTGATAAACTATCGTTTTGTGTTGGAATCTCCCATTACTGGTTGAATCAGAAGCCCTAGTAAAACCTACTCATTTGGTGGGTTTATTTTGAAAAAAAATGAAAGAAAATGTCTTTTCTGTACAGCAAAGACAAATTTAGGTTTTTTTAATATTCAAGTTGCAATTTTACATTCGAAGACATCTCAGGCAGCTAATACTTGTTGAAAACCAATTTAACAACTGGTGTCCACCAAAACCCCGTAACATTCGTCAGAATTTTTCACGCAAATGCCAAGGCTTTTACAAAACACTATGCTTTTTATATCGTGTATCGCGTAAGTACAAAACTGAAACCAAACTGTATGCGAGCAGCCACTAAACAACAAAACCCGCATTTTTAACATGACTATGCCACAAAAACATCATCGGTTTGAAACATCGCTGATTCATAACGCTCGTGAGCAGCTTTAGCCACCACATTTCCTTCAATGCCCTTTAGCAGTTCAGATGGTTTTACAATCCTGTCTTCTTATCTTAAAGGTAATGTTCCCTCTCGTATCGCTATGTGACAGACCACACAGGCAAGATAATTCCTTACAGTACCCTTCCCCTTTTGCTATACAAAGACACCTACAGAAGATGGCCTGCTTTACAGTTCTTTCTTAGCTAGGGCTAGTCACCAATATGACACTAAAAAATGCTATTTTTTCACCAATTAGGGTGCTCTTAGAGAAGAAAAGTGTGATGGGATTAGCAGCACTTAAACCTTCTGGTAAGACACTCAAGCACACGGCAATATCAGCACTGCTAACCATTGTTCCAAACAAAGCAACAGAAGGACGAGCGTTTCCCACCTGCAGTATGTCTCTGTGACGCTGTAACGTATGCATCAGCGCAGCATTCAGGGACGGGACTCCAGCGCTATTTGTGTATTCTGCCATTTTGTCATTTATTCCAGTAAGCTAGAGGAAGGGAAAGAAAACAAACCCAAAACATGAAATGGCTTATCCCTGTAAGAAAGTCACAACGCACCGGCGGAAGGAGCGAGCTCTACCGACAGATGTGTACCTTCCGAAACGCTCGTCGAACACCCACACTAGTATTCCCTAACATTCCCTAAAGAAACCTGTACTGCAGTACTTCCCAGATGCCAAAGTAAAATCACAGTAACTCAAGTTACCTTTCCCAGAAGCTGTTCAATCTCCACAGCCATGGTTTCAAACATTCTGTCCTGGCTCGATCCATTTAAGAGAGGGGTTGTGTCTGAGCTAAGGAGGAAGAGGAGGAGCAGTTAGTGAAAAGTGCATCAACTTCTCATAAATGCAAGAAATCAGGAAACACTAGTGTTAGGTGTTGGCGAGCTCTACTACCCAGCCTTCCTAGTGAGATGAACTAAGCTCAGAAAAATTACATTTTCTTATCATACAGACCTTTAACTCCATCTGAACTAATCACACAGTATCACTTGGGGAAAATATAATCTCTCCTTGGAAGATATGCCTGACACCAAGCACTTGTCTACTACCACCATGTCTTACACCAATGCCCTTCTCTCCCCAGCTTTTAAGCTTGGTTTATTTATCTATTGGCCAAGCGAGAGCACTGCCCTACCAGCATGTTACACCAGCTACATAACGACACCTCAATAGTACAGGACAACCCACTGACCTATTAAGCAGTCAGTGTTCTACAGAGCAACACAACCACACAATCTATCACCATTACAGTTTCATACAGCACACCTTCCCTATGCTTTTTAAGATAAACTAAACCCACAATGAGAAGTCGTATCTAAGCAACAGAATAGAAGCACAACACTTAGCATGCCAACCTGCAGAAGTATGACAATAAATAACCCTCAGAGACTATTCTTTGCTTTGGTAACCTCCACAACTAGAGTAAGAGAAGTGAGGTTTGCCTAGGACAGCAAAAATAACTAAAGCAATTAGATTACAAGGCAAGTAACAGCATAGAGCCAGAAACAAGAGAGAGCCTAGGACTCTGATTCGAGAGTAACGTGATCATTCTTGAGGCTCTCGGGCTTCCGGAACCAGAAATCCATGGAAAGGTTCTGAAATGATTCAATAATCAAATTAAATAAACAAATAAAACCACCAACACACATGTATACAGCAGTCACGCTCACAACTGATACACAGTGTTGGGACCCACAGTTAATAAGCAAAGAAAAGCAGTTTTTAAAGGTCGTGCACAGGGACAAAGAAGTTGATAATTAGTGCTGTGGAACTGCAGCGAAGAAAAGACTTGAAAAGATTTATCACATTAATTCTTCAGTCAAACATGAATCTGCCTAAAGCAAACAGAAGCTACTCCTATATAAGTACACATATGTACTTATCTGGTTCACATATATATATGTATATATATACACACATATATAGCTCTATTACTACTCATCCTAGGAACAAGTAAGAAAGAAATAGCTACCCCTTCTGAAAAGGGAGAGGGCTAGTCCCCTGCACAGCCTGGGAGCAGTCACAGCTGCTCAGTGCTCCCATTCCCTTATCATTAAAACTGGGATTACAAATACCACACCAGCCCATCTGGGAGGTGCAAGGCTTAAATTCCCCTAATACTGAAGTCCCTGAAAACCTCCTGCTAGTTTAATACAAGAAAAACTGGAAAACAAGCTGATGCAGCGAGCGTTAAAAAGCCTTATCATCAGTTCACCTCACAAACTGAAGTTTAAATTCAGCTTCCCCTAGTAACATGCACGCTCTCACGGTGCACCACTGCAGCCCACGTATCCTTCTGACTCACACGCCAATATCGCTCAATATTGCATCGAGACCAACACCAGCATTGCGAAGCGCTGGAATGAGCTTCCTCAGCAGCTCAGCACAAAAGCCACAGGTGGGACCAGTATTCAGCAAACTGTAACAGCGAGCCAAGTACCACAAGCAGCGTTTAGAACATAAAGAAACGGGCTAGTACCTATACCTGTCGCGCCTTCCGTCTCGGGTGCTGCTGTAGCTGGTGCAGAGTTTGCTGAAGGAGACCAGCTTCAGGTCCAGCTCGTTCTCCAGCTGCCTCGCCTG